AACTTTTATTTTTTTTGGGGTAAATTTCACAAACCCCCCCCAAATATTTAGGGTGTTTCACACGAAACACCATGAACAAAACCCCAAAAAGCAAACAGAAGAGGAGAAGACGAGTCAAAAGAAAACAAAAAAAAAATGACAGAATTGGGCAGATAATAAGGTCCTTTGATTGCAAGATACACTTTGTAGGCAGTTATGTGAAAAAAGTCATAAAGTTTATTTTTATTTTTATTATTTATTTATTTATTTATTTATTTGTGGGGAGGGGGAGGGGGTTTGTGAAATTTAACGTTTCATTTCTTTATAATATTTCAAATCTGCCCCCTTTCCATGCTATATAAATAAGCACCCAAAGCACCTCAGATGCATCACATCCCAAGTCTTCTCTTCTTCAAAAACACTAGATACACAATTTTGTCAAGAAATGGAGAGGGTGAACAATTTAGCCTCAGAGAGTGCAGTGGTGATCTTCAGCAAGAGCTCATGTTGCATGTGCCACGCAATCGAGAGGCTCTTCTCCGAGCTCGGTGTTAAAACTGTTGTCCATGAAATCGATGAGATGGCGAATGGTAAGGAGATTGAGAAGGCACTTTCCCGCCTTACTGGGCGAAGTAAACCCGTTCCTGCTGTGTTCATCGGTGGGAGATTGATCGGGTCTACTGATGAAATCATGTCCCTTCATCTTGGTGGTGACTTGATCACACTTCTCAGAGATGCTGGTGCGATCTGGCTCTAAGTTGCTACTATTATCGTAGTGACAGATTTTGAGTAGCTAGCAAGTTATGAGAGTCGCAAGCGTGTTGCTTTAGTTGTAGACAGGTTCTCTTCGTAGAATCTGTGATGTATCCTATTTTCGATAAGAAATAAAGAACTATCGCTTATCGTATGCAACAATAAAGCTGTCGGTTTATGTACATGCTTCTGTCAGTGTGCATATTTTCGCAGTCCACACTATTATGCAGGAAAGTTATGCTTATAGCGGTGAGTAATTTAGGCGCAGTAGGACGATGAAGAAATGCATATAGATTCATGAAATACAAAAAATGCATAGTCCATAACATTTGACGCCATGGAAAAGATTTATCCTGTACTTCATTTTGGCAGACAGTTTTCTTTGAGTTTCTGAAACTGTCTGAAACTTTATGAAACTATGGGTTTTTCAGAAATGAATTCGGAGTATCAGCTCCAATTATATAAATCTGAACTGACCCGCGTGCATTTGACTTGGGAGAGTAGGCTTGTATAAATCCTCATGTTAATGCTAAGCAACCATTGTTTATCATGTACAAACTCTGAACCTTAGTCTGTTTGTCTGCACATAATTTTGTTTGCATATTAGTGCAGTCTATACTTGTATGTAGGAAAATGATGCTTCTAGTGGCAAACGACTCAAGAGAAATAAGAAATGGTGAGACGCATATGACTTCATAAAATTGTAATTGGATTTTGAGCAGTAATCTGTGAGAGTTACAAGTTTACTTTCTTCAATCATAGTTGGGTGTACAGTGAGTTTTAGCAGAATCTTTGCTGTATATATCCTATTTTTCATAAGTAATGAAGGATTGTTGTCTGTTTATATTTTAACGCTTGTCTGTGCAAATTAGTGGTTAATGACTCAAGAGTACTAAGAAGATGAAGGAATCCATGGGTTTCTGTTTACAGTTTCCTATGAGTTAAATGTCTGAAAATTTCTGAACCCTGAGAGTGGAGTCCTACACTTAATAAATTTCAAACCTGTAATTGAGACCGTTAGAATTAATATAAACAATAAACCTTCATCATCACCATAAACTCAGAGTTTTGGTGTAATGGTTAGGGTCTTTAACACGGAATCGGAGTAACCCAGGTTTAAATCCCACCGGCCACACATTTAAAGCAGATTTTTCTAAAAATTGACGCCACCCATGAGTGGATCCTGGTTTCAGCCCATAAAAAAAGGGAGGGGTAATGGGTAGGGTCTTTAACTAATATACGTACCTGTAGAAATAATTTCTGAACTAAATACCTTCAAAAAATACCCATCTTTTTGCTACCTAACCACAATATATGTTGATACTACTCAAACGGGTCATTTCTTAGCAGCTGATGATCTGCATGGGGGTAAAGAATTACTAGTAATTAAGTTACAGTTTTAACGTTAATTCTGCAGTTTATTTGAACGGTTCTATATATGCACTTGATGCCTGCAAGTTGGTTTACTCAATCAGAAATTTATTATTTACCCTTCTGATATCCTGCAACACATTTTATGTAAAAGGAATGGTACCACTATTTATTGGCATAGACTTTGCTTCTTCTACAACTCTATTTCTAGAATTTAAGGGTTTATATCCCGAATATTGCGTATAATGTAAAATGAGGGTCAACATGAATAACATAAATACATATAAGGTTCCACTTTTACACACACACACGCGCGCGCGCACACACACACACACACATATATATATATATCTATGAAGTTAAGGATCCCTTTTATAAACCTGATTCACCAAGTTCACTGAGGCCTTGTTCAGTAAGAGCTCGCCAAAACTGAGCTTTTAAAAATATCATGTACGTATAATGCACATTAACCACATAGACAGTTTCTATATGATTTTATTGATTATTTTCATACGTCGCTGTTAGCAACACTGCATGGGAGGTCGCTTCAATGCATGACAGCAAGAGAATCAAATCTATGCTAGGACAAGGATCAATTATCATTATATAAAGACTTTATCATTCGTGTCGCCACATTTGGGAATTCTAGAACACAGAAGATATCATAGATTTATTCCATATAGCATGTCATTGTTGGTTTTGGAAGTGTGAGGACCGAAACCTGAAGAAGAAATCATCAAATAAACTGAAAAACCCAGCTTTGGTCGACCGACGGACGTGGTCCGATCGACCAAAAAGCATGTAGAACATTATAGGAGTTTCGGGTCGGTCGACCGACAAGCTTGCCCCGGTCGACCGAAAAGGTGCACAAGAACCCTGTAAGAAAAAGATGTCCTGGCTGGTCGACCGACGACAATGCACCGGTCGACCAACGTCAGGATTTCCAGAATCCTGGTTCGGTTGGGAATCTGTTTTGGGCTGGGATACTATACATACCTTGATATGTTTTTAGGGTTTGAAGAATACGAAAAAGAGAGGTTTTGATGACACTTTGAGATCAGAGATCTTAGAGAGAGAGAGAGAGGGGCATATTGCGAGCATTGTAATCTTCTTTAATTAATCAAAGTTTTTGATGTGGCTCCTGAGGACGTAAGCATGTTTGCCGAACCTCATTAAATCTGGTGTTCTCTGGTTTGATTATTCTTTCATGCAAGTTTTTCTTTTATTTGCTGTGATTTCCTTCTTGCCTACTTTCGGCACAAGATTCGGAAGGGCACGGGTTGTGTGTTCAACCCCAACAGTCATTTGCCACATTAGGGAATTGTAGAGCACAAAAGATATCATAGATATATTCCATATAGCATGCCATTTCTCTTATCCTCGTGGTCTTTTGGCGCTATGTAGAAGCTAAAATCAGTACTCTCGGGTTTTATCTGTGTGCTTTTGGTCACTGGTTAATTAACTTTATCTCAAAAAAAGTAATGTATTATCAAATGAACCGTCCTTGTGCTTCTATTATTTAGTGGTTATTGCAGAAGTTGACATTCCCATCCCACTCAGTGTATAGATTCTGCAAGGACTAGTTTAGTTCAATAGGTAATTTACTTTCTGAATCTTATTGAACAAGTCCTATTGAGACATTCATCTTTAAAATTTGCGGGTTTATTTCAGATCATAAATCTAATATCAACTGTGTATCACTAGTAGAAAAACGACCAACCTAGACGGAAATTTCCGTCTAGGTTGGTCTACAATCCGTCTAGGTTGGATCATCTAGACGGAAATCCGTCTAGGTAGATTGGTTTATTCTGTTTCCGTTTAGTTTGGATCAAACTAGACAGATTTCCGTCTAGATTGATCAATCTAGACGGAAACCAACCTAGACGGAAAACCGTCTAGGTTGTCAACCTAGACGGAAATCCGTCTAGGTTGACCCTAGACGGAATGCCGTCTATACTGAACCAACCTAGACGGAAATCCGTCTAGGTTGATTATTACAACCTAGACGGAATTTCCAAAAGAGAGAAGATCGATTTTATTCCAAAACACAAGCATTTTGGAAACCCCTCAAGTAAAATCTTTAACAATCTCATTACCTGTCAGCTGCACTGCGGCTTCATATCTCTTCTCAAATTGTGGCGCATCAAACATAGCATGATAACTTCCTACTTATGACTAATGGGTAAAAAAAAAGCAACCACCTTCGATTAAACCAATAACAACTCTTTCGGCTATGTGGTAATTACAAGAAGCTTCAAATTCCGGACTCACATACAGGACAAGCAGCACTTTCGAGCGCTTTTGTGGATAGCCCAGACAGATTAGCAATAGGGCTGGATAATCATTAAATCTCCATAATAGAATAGCACGTAATTCTAAACGAGTTCTTTAAATGGGCATCATATGCATAGCAATACCCTCAGACCATAAGTTGTTTCCAGCTGCATCAATTAGAGGGCTCTAAGTAAACATCAAGATAATCAGATTTCCGGTGTGGCTATGCTTACGCGGTGTATCAGTAATAGTAATCATAAATGGTATGTTTCATACAAAAGCATGGAGGTAAATTATTATGGCATTAGTACAACTGGCCAAGTAGAAGCGCAACAGAGCTCATTACCCCAAAATGGTATTGAATGCCGTCAGCTTGACAGATCCCGATGTCTTACATTTCTGCAATCTTCGGTCAAATTCGAGGATAAAATTTTATCAACATGCCTTCCACAGCTAACGCAGCAGTTCAGGCAGGATGTCTCATTTCCATCATCTACATCGATTTTTTCGCTTGTGCACCTCAATATTTTTCGCTGTTTCTTTGTTCATTGTAGCGAATCTTGCAATCTAGAAGGCTAATGGAAAATGTCGAAGCACCTTGGCGCTGGAATTTTTCTTCTGTAGTTTATCTCTGTCCTCCGTTGTAATCGCTTATTGAAGAATTGTACGTTGTTTCCAACTAAGAAACTCACAATGTCACATTCTTGAAGGCTTTATTGCCATTGTGGTACAAAATAACAATGATTCGGACATGCATCAATCTATTATAATCTAGACCCAGAGCAGCGACAATCTGCTCAGCTTGATAAGTTGTTTGGGGTATGGCTATTCACGCTCCAGGTATTACAGTTTCGAAAGCAAATCAAGAAGCATTTTCAAAATAATTATCTGACATAACCGCTAAGTGTC